ACACACACACACACACACACACACACACACACACTTTTCTTACACAGACCTCCTAAACTGGAGTTTTCAAAAGCTTAAGAGAGGAGGGGGTCAGGAGGGAGGAGAATTGAGGAAGGAAGGGTTAACTGAATGCCACAAGGTCCCTTCCGACTCATAGTGACCCCATACGGCAGGGGAGAACAGCTCTAGGAAATCTTTACAGGGGCAGCCCCCACCAAGAAGACTAGCAGGTTTGAACCTCTGACCTTTTGGTTAGCAGCCAAGCACTTTGCCTAAAACCAAACTCACTGCCATTGAATCTATTCCAACTCATGGTGGTCCCATAGGACAGGGTAGAACTGCCCCTGTGAGTTTGCAAAAGTCACCTTACAAGAGTAGCAAGTCTCCTCTGTCTCCTGAGAAGTGAATGGTGGTTTTGAACTGCTGACCTTGGGATTAGCAGCCCATCGTCTAACTGCTATGCCATCAGGGCTCCTTAGATTCAGCCTAGTACTGGGAAATCTATCCACATGTCTCTGTGAGGGCCTTCTCTGAGCCCCTCCAGCTGTGAGACCAGGGGTGTGTACACATCCCTCCCACCACCACCCACATTCACCGCCTGGCCTGTGTCCCCGGGATGTGATCGCTGCTCTCTGCTGCCCGCTCTTGGAACTGCACGAGCCCCAGCAGGTCCTGGAAGAGAGCTGCTCAAATAGAAAGAGGCCCAGTTCTGACCCACTGTGCTCTGACCCCTTGATACAGGTCCCCCAGGCCCCCCGGGCGGCGTGGTGGTGAGGGACATCACTGACACCACCGTCCAGCTCAGCTGGAGCCGTGGCTTCGACAACCACAGCCCCATTGCCAAGTACACCCTGCAAGTGCGCACTCCACCTGCAGGGAAATGGAAGCAGGTTCGGACCAGTAAGTGTGAGGCGGGGCCTGGTCGGTGCTGGAAGGTTGGGGCGTTGGGAGGGAGCCTGGAGCCCCTGGAGGGACCAGCACAGGCCCTCTGTGTGCTGGGAGCTCCCAGGCCAGTGGGGGAAGCTGTCACACAAAAGCAGCAAGCCCGGGAAGGCTGGGGGCGAGGTGCCCTGACTGTGACCTTGAAGGACAGCATGGTGGCGGGAGAGAACGCATAGCATGGGCCAAGGCCCCACACAGGGAAGGTTCCTGCGGCTGGCCAGACCTCCAGAGTGCCCCTCGTTTTTTGAAGCCAGTGCTGAGTCAGGCAGCCTGATGAGCATTAGGTGCAAAGCAGTGACTCAGGCCCAGACCCTGCCTCCCGCCCACATCCAGACGGTAAAACCAGTGCCCGGTGCCTTGCAGGCCCTGCCAACATTGAGGGCAATGCCGAGACAGCCCAGGTGCTAGGTCTCACGCCCTGGATGGACTATGAGTTCCGCGTGGTGGCCAGCAACATCCTGGGCACCGGCGAGCCCAGTGGGCCCTCCAGCAAAATCCGGACCAAGGAAGCAGGTGAGCGTTGTGGGTCTCCCAGAGAGAATGACTGGCAGTGCCGAGCTTGTGCCGTGAGATGCCATCCAGCCGGTCCCCGCCCATAGTACGAACACCGCCCAGTCCTGCGCCCTCAGCACAACTCTTCCTCTGCTTGGGCCCATTGTTGCGGCCACTGTGTCCATCCAGCTCGCTGAAGCCTTCCTCTTTTTCGCTGCCCCTCTGCCTCACTGGCCCTCCTTTGAAAGGTGTGCTGGTGGTGGTGAGGTGACTCAGTGAACCGCCAACTGCAAGGTCAGCAGTGTGAAACCACTCCCCGGGGGAAAGACAGGGCCGAAATGACCAGTTGCTTGTCAGGAGGAGGCTGTCTGCACCACAAAGAGTCGAAGTCTTGGAGACCCGCGGGGACAGTTCTGCCCTGTGCTACAGGATCCCGCTGAGTGGGAACGGGTGAGGGTGGAGTCTGGGGAGCAGCAGCAGAGGAGCCCTGGGTGGCTGCTGGGCCCCTGCAGCACGCACGCACGTGGGAGCCGCCCCAGGGCGCCACGCTGACCCCACAGACATCTCAAACTAAAGGCTCTGGGTTCTCTCAAATTCACGCTGACAGGGTGCAGGCACCAACGCAGATCCTTGGGAAGTTGCTGGAATCAGCTCACGGAGGGGAGGGGCGGGGGAAGTGTGTTGTGCAGAGGGTTGGGCCGCTGCCAGTGTCTGCAGGCCTGGGAAGGGAGGGAGGAGAGAGCCTGGGGCCACGCTCACCCGCTGGGAAGCCCTGTCCTCTCTGTTCGGTGGCCCTAAGGCCTGAGACCCTGGGAGGGGCTGCAGCATAGTCAAGACCCACCCATCCAACCCACTGCGCCACCAGGCTCCGTGGAAGCACAGCGAGGGCCTGTCTTCTTGTCCCCCTTAGCCGTGTCCCCCAGGCTAGGTCCCCAGAGCCTGTCTGGAATGAGCATTTTCAGCAGGTACCTCTTCTAAGTCAGCAATTCCAGAAGGAACATTACTCGATTGACCCCCACCTGTTGTTGAGGGTCAGACGTGGGCAGCAGGATGCCTCCTTCATCCTAGCGCCCTAAGAGCCGAGGAGCACACAGATGCGGTGAGGTGGGGGATGAGGGGGATCCAGCGGCAAGATGGCCAACTTTGAAGTCAGGAGTAGTGGCTGCTGGGTGCTGCGGAGTTGGTCCCGACCCCTCTCGACCCTCTGTACAACAGAAAGAAATCAACACCACCCAGTCCTGCGCCATCCTCACAGTTGTTCCCATGCCCACGCCCAGGGTGGGAGCTGCTGGGCCGATCCAGCTCATCCAAGGCCCCCCTCTTTTTCACCGAAGTCGGGAGAGCCAACCAAGTTCAAATTCTGAGGTTGCCACTTTGTCCGGGGTGACCTGAGGCGAGTCACTCCACTGCTCTGGGCTCCCAGTCTTTTCCTTTGGGCTAGAGGAAATCGCAGCTCCCGCCGATGGGATCCACTGGGCAGTGTGTTAGGACACCTTGCAAGGCCCTGAGCAGTCATCATCAGAAGCAGAGAGGTCTCTGGGGGCTAGTTCTCCACAGAAATGCTTTGACCCCCAGCCACACGACCCTCTGGCCCACGGTGGGAGCTGAGGACAGCCTTCGGTAAGAGACAGCTAGGAGATTGAACTTGACTCCAAGAGGAAACCAGGTCAAGGACACACCCTGGTCAACCACCACCACCACCACCACCACCACCACCCCACTCACCCCGCCTCGAAGAAGGGCATTTTGCATTCACTGCAGCTCTGGATTATTTATCCCATTTAATTTAAAGCAAGCAAGAATTGATGGCTATTGCTTTGTTATTCCAGCAGGAGTGAGGAGGAAGCGGTCATTAAGGGGGGGCTTCTGATGTCTGCTAGTGCCATCTGGTTGGATTGTGCTCTCCCTCCATCCCTGGGGGAGAGACACTCTCCTGGGCCAGCGAGGTCAGGCAGTTTGCCCTGTGCACCGAGGCGGAAGGCACCGGGCCGCCCATGGGAAGGGGTGGGTGGCCCTGTTGTGGGCAACTCATGGACAAGCCACGTGTGTGTCCCCTGCCCCTTTACAGCCCCCTCGGTGGCCCCCTCGGGACTCAGCGGAGGCGGTGGAGCCCCCGGAGAACTCATCATTAACTGGACGGTAAGTAGGCGGGGACCAAACCGAACGTGCCTCTGATCGCGAAGCGGGGCAAGTGCTCCCTCCCCACTGCAGGACTCAACCCAACTAAGCCCGCAGCATCCGCCTCACTGTCCCCCATGGTGAGGGCTGGGCGGGGCCCGAGGCGTCCCGGGACGCTGGCACCGAGCCCACGCCACGCTCTTGCCCCCCAGCCCCTGTCGCGGGAGTACCAGAACGGAGACGGCTTCGGCTACCTGCTGTCCTTCCGCAGGCAGGGCAGCGCTGGCTGGCAGACCGCCCAGGTGCCCGGCGCCGACGCCCAGCACTTCGTCTACAGCAACGCCAGCGTCCAGCCCTACACGCCCTTCCAGGTCAAGATCCGTTGCTACAACCGCCGCGGGCAGGGGCCCGAGAGCCTCACCGCGCTGGTGCACTCGGCAGAGGAAGGTGGGCCCCACCCCAAAGAACGCCCCCACATCACGGGCGCGTGCGTGCACCACAGACACACGCCACTACCCCACACGCAGACTCCCCACACCATACACACACACCACTAGCACCAATACACACCACACGTCCACATCACACATACCACACACGCGCACACACACCCTTCCTACCCACACACACTTACCACCACCACAACCACCACCACCATCACCTCTGCCTCCCAAGTCAGGGCTGGAGTGAGGTATGTGGGGTGCTTTCTCTGAGTCCTGGTGTATCCCAGCAAGGGCAGTTCAGAGTTTGGTGGGGGTGAGGGTGCTCATCTGGAGGTCACAGGAAAGTCTCTAGAGTCCAAACCTATTCTGTGCTGGTCCCCAGAGCCCAGGGTGGCCCCTGCCAAGGTCTGGGCCAAGGGGATCTCGTCCTCAGAGATGAACGTGACCTGGGAGCCGGTGCAGCAGGACATGAACGGTGTCCTCCTGGGGTATGAGGTGAGCATGGAGCCTGTCCGTGGGAACTGGGAATGGCTTTGGGGATGGGGGCGAGAGGGTAATGGCCAGCATAGCCCAGAGTCACTCCTCCGGAAGCTTCCACTGGCAGCTTGCAGACAGAGTCTACGTCTGACGTTACTCCTGTGGTGGCTGTGACCGCACGAGTCAGCCTGACGTCCCAAGCTGCACAGCTGGTCATCCTGACCCAGGGGAGCCCAGGCCCAGCAGTCTCTGGTCAGCCCTGGGCCCACAGATGATTCCAGGTGGGGGTGTGTGGAGGAGAAGCATGCAAGAGGAGGAAAGAAGGGACGCGAGAGCTGCCGGGCTTAGAGAGAGGCCTGGGCTGGGCATACCAGCCATCTGAGGGGCCCGGCTTCACTGTGTGTTAGACAGCAGCTTAAGCAAGGGGGGACGTCCTGCCTCGCCCTTGATGTTCACTCAGTACGCCCTGGGATTTAGCCTGTGTCCTGAGAACTATTCAAAAGGGATGGCGGTGCCTGAGCAGCCATTACAAAGCTCGGAAGTTAGGAGGCCTCAGCCTTGCCACTACGTACGCACTTCATACTGCGGCCGTGAGTTGGTCAGAGCCCTGGTGGTGTTGTGGTTAGCGTTGGGCTACTAACTGCAAGGTCAGCAGTTCAAAACCACCAGCAGCCCCCCATTTGGGGGTGGGGGGCTTCCTATTCCTGCAAAGAATGACAGCCTCAGAAACCCAAGGGGGCAGCTGTACCCTGTCCTATAGGGTGGCCGTGATTCAGCGTCGCTGCAATGTCAGTGAGTCGGGGCAGATCAGCAGTGGAATTCGTGCGTCATGTGTGGGAGCCCTGAGTTCAGTTCTCCCCGTGGACTCATGCACACGGAGCCGTTCGTGGCAGTCAGTGGAGAGTTGAGGCCGCTCCAAGGCGGAGCAGGCCCCAGCAGAGCTTCTCAGGCAAGGCAGAAAGGCCTGGCAGCCACCCTGCTGACTTCAGACGAAGAGGAGCGGGCTGGCAACGGGCTGTCCTGAAGTTAGAACGAAAACATGACGAGGAGCAGCCGTCTGCTCTGCGACCATCCCGGGGTGACACTGGGCCAGGCAGCATGTCCTCCCACTGTTTGGGGGGGTTGCCATGAGCCGGTGGGGGCAACAGCAACCACCATTCCTTAGGGCCGTCCCCATGGCAGCCTCTGATTTCATGCAGCCGGCCATTTTGAGGACGAGTTGGCGCCCAGCCCTATTCACCACCCTCACCCCATACTCCCTTCTCCACTTGCCCACCCTCCGTGGGCTGGGCCCCCTGCTGGGCCCCCGGTAGATGGCAGGAAGCCTGACTTATCCCTGTTCTCTGCTGCCCAGGCTCCGCAGCTCACCACGGAGCCACCAGAACCAGGGCGCAGAGGGAGGCCGGGGAGCAGAAGGGTGCCATGGGTAGGTGTCCAGGGCCTGATCCCAGACCTTGGGGAACCCCTGCCCCCTCAGATCCGCTACTGGAAAGTTGGAGACAAAGAAGCAGCCGCTGACCGAGTAAGGACCGCAGGGCTGGACACCAGTGCCCGAGTTGCTGGCCTGCACGCCAACACCAAATACCAAGTGACTGTGCGGGCCTACAACCGGGCTGGCACTGGGCCTGCCAGCCCCTCGGACAGCGCAGTGACCATGAAGTCCCGTGAGTCCACCTGCCTGGGGCGAAGGGAGGGGTGGGCAGGAGCCATGGCAGCAAGCCTGCGGAGGGTGTGGCCTTAGCTCCTCTCGCTCTCTGCTGGCCCTGGGCTTGTCTAATAGATACAGCCACTGAGGGCGGTCCTCCAGGGGAGGCGGACTAAGGAGTGGGGAGCAGGGGTGGGGGGCAGTGCTGGGAAGTCTCCTCACCTCCATCCCTGCCTGGCAGCTCCGCAGCGACCACCCAGCAACATCTCCTGGACCCTGTCAAGCTCCAGACTGAGCATTAAGTGGGACCCAGTGGTCCCGCTCCGAAATGAGTCAGCAGTCACTGGCTATAAGGTAAGGAAGGGATGGAGGGGGGGGCAGCCAGTTGGTGGCTTAGTGCTCATTTGCACTTCTGGCGAAGACAAGGGCGGCCCTGGGGTGTGGGTAGGGGC